CCATGGGTCAATGTAAGTACTTATCCACAAGTCATATCAAAATCCATAATTTTTTGCACCAAAACCTGCCCTTGATGAATACACGAGATAAACTTCTACATGAGTAAATAATAATAATAATGTATTGTCGAAGGCTTTCATGGCCGGAATCACTGTTGTTGTAGGTTTTTTCGGGCTATATGGCCATGGTCTAGAGCAGGGGTCCCCAAACTAAGGCCCGCGGGCCACACCTGGCCCCCCGGGGGCATTTATCCGGCCCGCGCGGGCTGTCGTGGCCTATCCAAAGTCCCTCGCCAAGCGGCCCGTCCAAAGCCCCTCGCCGCCGCCAATGGCGTCTGCTCTGCTGCGCTTCTCCCTCCACAGGCTTCTCCTTCCACACGGGATGGAGAAGCCTGTGGAGGGAGAAGCGCTCTCTGCTCTCCCACGGAGAACAGAGAGCGAAGCAGAGCGGACGCCATTGCTCTACCACAGAAGATCCCTGGTGGCGAGAATGGTGGAGGCGGTGCCGGGTGGGCGTGGCCAGGCTTCCAGGCCAGGGAAGCCAGCATCGCTTGTCCACGCCCACCTGGCATGCGCAAACGGTGGAGGCGGCGCCAGGTGGGCGTGGTCAGGCTTCCAGGCCATCGCTTGGCCACGCCCACCCGGCGCCGCCTCCACCGTTTGCGCATGCCTTCCTCGTCACCAGGGATTGTCTGTTACACAGGAATGGCATCCGCTCTGTTGCGCTTCTCCCTCCACAGGCACATGGGATGGAGAAGATAGGAGGGAGAAGCACAGCAGAGCGGGCGCCATTCATTCCTGTGTAACATACCATCCCTGGTGACGAGGAAGGCATGCGCAAACGGTGGAGGCGGCGCCAGGTGGGCGTGGCCAAGCGATGGCCTGGAAGCCTGACCACGCCCACCTGGCGCCGCCTCCACCGTTTGCGCACGCCTTCCTTGCCACCAGGGATGGTCTGTACAGGAATGAATGGCGTCCGCTCTGCTGCGCTCTCTGTTCTCCGCGGGAGAGCAGAGAGCACTTCTCCCTCCACAGGCTTCTCCCTCCTGTGCTTATCTGGACCAGCAGCAGCTGCTGGAGTCCCCACAGCGCTGTTCTGGAAAGGTTTGGCCCAATTCTATTTTTGATGAGGTTCAGAATGCTCTGTGATTGTAGGTGAACTACAAATCCCAGCAACTACAACTCGCAAATGTCAAGATTCTATTTTCCCCATACTCCACCAGTGTTCACATTTGGGCATATGGAATATTCGTGCCAAGTTTGGGCCAGATCTTTCATTGAATCCACAGTGATTTATGGAGGCAGGTGAACTACAACTCCAAAACTCAAGGTCAATGCCCACCAAACCCTTCCAGTATTTTCTGTTGTTCATGGGAGTTCTGTGTACCAAGACTGGTTCAATTCCATCATTGGTGGAGTTTAGAATGCTCTTTGATTACAGGTGAACTATAAATCCCAGCAAATACAACCCCCAAACGCCACCAGTGTTCACATTTGGGCATATTGAGTATCAGTGCCAAGTTTGGTCCAGATCCATCATTGTTTGAGTCCACAGTGCTCTCTGGATGTAGGTGAACTACAACTCTAAAACCAAAGGACACTGCCCACCAAACCCTTCCAGTATTTTCTGTTGGTCATGGGAGAACTGTGTGCCAAGTTTGGTTCAATTCCATCGTTGGTGGGGTTCAGAATGTTCTTTGATTATAGGTAAACTATAAATTCCAGCAACTACAACTCCCAAATGACAAAATCAATTTTTTTTGAGTGAAGGACATACATTGGGTTGTTAGGTGTCCAGTGGTTTTTGAGTTCTGTTAATCCCACAAACGAACATTACATTTTTATTTATATAGATTTATTTCCTATATTTATACCCTGCCCTTCTCCCCCTGAAAGGGGACTCATGCTTACATATTCCAAAAACCACTTTCAAAAAGACAGAAAATAGAATGCTTTCCTCATTTTAATTGGAACTATTTTATCTCCAGAAATGCTAAAACTATGCGTTATGTTCAGATTGTAACAATAAAAATACATCCTGCATATCAGATATTTATATTACGATTCATAACAGTAGCAAAATAGGACATGTGCAGTGTGCATAGGAATTTGGTCATCGTTTTTTTTAAAAAAACTATAGTCCGGCCCTCCAACCGTCTGGGGGACAGTAATCCGGCCCCCCGTTTAAAAAGTTTGAGGACCCCTGGTCTAGAGGCATTTTCTCCTGATGTTTCGCCTGCATGTATGGCAAGCATCCTCAGAGGTCGTGAGGATGCTTGCCATAGATGCAGGCGAAATGTCAGGAGAGAATGCCTCTAGACCATGGCCATATAGCCTGAAAAAACCTATAACAACCCAATAACAACAACAACAACAACAACAACAATAATATCCTCAGTTGTTGCAAGAAAATCGAACAGATGGACTACAAACAGAGGCACAACTCTGTGGCCCAGATGATTTACTGGAACTTATGTCACACGTACCACCTACCAGCAGTAAATAATTGGTGGGATCATAAACCCGCAAAGGTCATGAAAAATGAACATGCAAAAATCCTGTGCGACTTTCAAATGCAGACTGACGAAGTTTTGGAACACAATACACCAGACATCCCGATTGTGGAAAAGAAAAAAGTCTGGATTATTGATGTCACCATACCAGGTGACAGTCGCATTGAGGAAAAACAACAGGAAAAATGCAGCCGCTATCAAGACCTCAAAATCGAACTGCAAAGGCTCAGGCATAAACCAGTACAAGTGGTCCCAGTGGTCATTGGCGCACTGGGTGCCGTGCCAAAAGATCTCAGCCAGCATTTGGAAACAATAAACATCAACAAAATCATGATCTGTCCGCTGCAAAAGGCCACCTTACTTGGATCTGCATGCATCATTCGAAAATACATCACACAGTCCTAGACACTTGGGAAGTGTTCGACTTGTAATTTTGTGATACGAAATCCAGCATACTGTGCTTTTGTGTCAATAATAATAATAATAATTATTATTATTATTATTATTGTACCCCGCCACCATCTCCCCAAAGGGACCTGGGGTGGCTCACAAAGCACTCCAAATGCCACAAGCAGACAATATATAAGTATAAATATAATGACATAAGTATAATAACAGTGCATATAAATCTCATTAAAAATTATAAACATTTGAAAATTATAAAATTCCTAAAATTCAGTAGGATCTCCCAGCCAGCTATCTGTCATAACAATCAATCAAAATGTGGGGCAGTACTATCTAGGGTTCATCACATTGGTCATGGATTGCTCAGGATCAAAAGCCGGTCTGATGAGCCATGTTTTTAGACTAACCTGGAAGGTCTGAAGAGAGGCGGCTCATCTAATTTCCTTAGGGAGGGTATTCCAGAGCCAGGGAGCCACTACCGAGAAGGCCCTTTCTCTCATCCCCACCATCTGTGCTTGAGCAGGTGATGGGAACAAAAGAAGGACCTCCGCAGTAGATCTTTGTGCCAGGTTTGGTTTCTAAAAGTAGATATACAGTCATTAAGATAGTATTGGCCATTTTCAGAAGCACTAACGAAGTATTATTATTAATGTTTATTTAAAGACCACTTTTTCTTTCCACATGGACACTCAAAGTGGGCACTACATGACTAACAGATCTTATCAAATGGAAAAGGGTTATTTGATTCAGTTTGGTTGGAAGGTCAGAAAGAGAAGGAAGCCTCATGGCATGGAGTTGCTCATTCGTTTCTTGAGGCTCCCTAGCCAACCAACAAAAACAGAGGCCAGACACAGTGTTGAGAACTTCTTGACACCATTGATTGGAATAGATCCTACAAGCTTCAGTTAATAGAGGTGATGGGAAAATGCTGACAGTTGAAAGGAAAACCCTGGGGTGACTTTACACATTTAAAAATGGAGCGAAAAGAAAAAGGATGTGTCATCGACTGAAAGCCTGCATGGTGTAGAAGTTTAAGCATTGGACTAGGACTCTGGAGAGCAGGGTTTGAATCCCCACTCAGCCGTGGAAACCCATTGGGTGACCTTGGGCAAGTCATGCACTCTCAGCCTCAGAGGAAGGAACTGACAAAACTCCTCTGAATAAATCTTGACAAGCAAACCCCAGGAGAAGGTCTCTGTGACAGAAAAGGCTTGTAGCCACATAACACTGGTAATAAGTTAACACTTTACTTAGTGTGGTGTGCACACATTGTTTTCATATCATTGGTGAAAAATGGTACTGTGACACATTAATAAAAAAGGACAACATGAGTTCAAAGGTTTTTACAAAATGTACACTTGTCTTCATGAAGAAATAATGGCTGTCATTCAGTTTTGCAATTATGGATTCATAACCGGAAGTTATCTGCCCTTAACTGGTGTGTATTCAGTAAGACTTAATAGTATTGTAAAGTATGGGCTCACAAAAAAACTTTATTTATACCCCTCTACCATCTCCCCAAGGGACTCGGTGCGGCTTAAATGAGGCCAAGCCCACAGTCCATCAGTAAACAAAGGCAATAACAAAATAATCAATACAAAACAGTTAATATAAACCTCATAAACAAAAAAAAACAATAAACAATAACAATAACACACAAGCATTTAAAAACCTATGGCCGGGCCAAATGTCATAATTTATTTTTTTTTAAATAATGCTGGGCATGAACAAGGTAGGATATAACTGGGATAGGGTTTTCAAAGAGAGATGAGGGTGTGCAGGCAATCCTAAATCAATGGTAAAGTGCATTTTGAGGGCATATTGCTAAGAGTTTTCCTTATTCTGGGAAGACACACTGGAACTGGCCGATGTAGAAAGCAGGCAGTGTTTTGTGTTTTTTCTCCAAATCAAGAGACATTCCTTTTAAATGGTGTGGTAATTTTGATTTTTCTCTCAACATCTCTGAACACTTCAAGGTATCTCTGGGGTTATGCTGGATGTGGACATGACCACATAACCTAGCATTTAATAACAAGCTGAAAATATGTCTTTATCCTCATTTCTTTTCTTTCTCCATTTTAGCGTCGAGCCAGGAAGGTGAAGTGTTGTGTCATCACTGGCGGTCTGGCAGTTCTTCTGGTCTTCATCATAATTATCACTGTTTCTGTCAAGAAGTAAATCCAACCGATTTTCACAGGTAAGCTTGTCTCCTGGAACTGCTCCATCTTTACGTTATGGATGTAAAAGATAAGGAAACTGGATGACTTCAAAGAATACCAGTAGATTGTAGTCTGCACCCTTGGGGGAGAGGAACATGAGGGTGAACCCGTCCACCTCCACAACAAAAGCTGCAGATTGTTTGTTGGTTGATGCATGGACAATAGGAATAGAGGAGGACAAAGTTAAGATGAAATATATTTCACTTGTGTGATGATTGAAGAACCTTATTAGCAATTAAATTCACTCACAAGGAAATCTTGGAAATGTCTTTAATGCTAGGTTACTATCATACAGCAAAATTATGGATGAAGCGAATGTGGGCAACTTCTCAGTTCAATATCCAAAAAGCCCCACACCTCAACTCTCAAAGGTTCCTACATTCAACCTCTAGGTCAGTGATTCTCAACCTGTGGGTCCCCAGGTGTTTTGGCCTACAACTCCCAGAAATCCCATCCAGTTTACCAGCTGTTAGGATTTCTGGGAGTTGAAAACATCTGGGGACCCACAGGTTGAGAACCACTGCTCTAGGTCTTCCAATCTGAGCCAGTTCATGTTATTGGGCTCTTCTAATAGAAAAGCCACATATGTTTTCATTCTGTTTTCATTCTTCAACCTTGATTGTGAACTCATGGCATGGAGGTGTTATGGTGTCTTCAACACACCAAATATGAGTCCATGACAACTTGTTCAGATTTTAATATGGAATTCTTAGATATTTAAGTTGATCCCTATCAGGGGCACCTGATAGCTTCCATTACAATGGGCCAATGAATCAGCTCCAGGTTTAAGACTGGACTTTAAAAGAGTTATCCAAGGGCTGAACTTGTTTGGGCATAGGGTTCAATGTGGTGTAAAAGTCTTAAGTGTTGGACTAGGGATTCAGGTAGACCACTGGGTGACTATGGGCAACTCACATTCTCTTAGCCCTAGTGGTGTAGTGGGTTAAACCCCTGTGTCAGCAGGACTGAAGACCAATAGGTCGCAGGTTCGAATCCGGGGAGAGGCGGATGAGCTCCTTCTACCAGCTCCAGCTCCTCATGCGGGGACATGAGAGAAGCCTCCCACAAGGATGATAAAAACATTAAAATCATCCAGGCATCCCCTGGGCAACGTGTTTGCAGACGGCCAATGCTCTCACACCAGAAGTGACTTGCAGTTTCTCAAATCACTCCTGACACGACACGAGCCTATGTCGAAGATGGTGCACGCACACACAAATACTCTGGAATCGTTTTTCCATTAAAAACCAGTGAAAAGGTCACCTTCTGTAGCAAACAACTTGAAGGCCCAGAACAGCAGAGCCAGCATTATGTAATGGTTTAAATGTTGGACAGGGACTCTAGGAGACCAAGATTTCGATTTCCCATTCGGCTGTGGAAACTCAGTGTGACCTTGGGCAAGGTAAAGATAAACACATTTCACTAGTTCAACATTTGATTAGTACAGATTAGGAAAAGGTAAAAGTTCCCCCTGACATTAAGTCTAGTTATGTCTGACTCTAGGGGGTGAGGGCTGTTCATCTTTCTTTCTAAGCCAAAGAGTCTGTGTTGTCCATAGACACCTCCAAGGTCATGTGGCCAGCATGACTGCATGGAGTGCCATTACCTTTCCACAAAAGCTGTACCTAATTATCTACTCACTAGGCATGGGCTATCCATGGTTCCAAAGTACTTACAAAAGTAAAGTTCTGATGCTGAAACCTAGAGCATGCTGGTGCTTTGTTTCTACAGTGTTGGTAAAATTCTGGTGGTGAAAATTTCAGAACTCCAACAAAACTTCCAAAATTTCATTATAAATGACAGTTCCTAATTGGTTCTGTCATAAAAATTGGCAATAATGAAATAATAATGAAATGTTGAAACTTTTGTTAGAGTTCTGAAATTTTCACCACCAGAACTTTAGCAACACTGTAAAAGCAAAGCACCAGCACCCCCTAGTTTTCACCACCAGAACTTTAGTTTTGTAAGTACTTTAGAACCATTTAGAACCATGGATTGCCCATGCTTACTACTCACATTTGCATTTGGCAGAAGCTGGGGCTAACAATGGGAGCTCACCCCATACCCCGGATTCAAACTGCCAATCTTTTGGTCAGCAAGTTCAGGAGCTCAGCAGTTTAACTTGCTGTCCCACCAGGGGTGGCGTCCCTTATTTAGAATTTCCGAAATACTCTAAAATAATCTACTTGGGGCTGAGATAGTGATACCTGTGCTTTCAGTTACATAAACTTTGTTTCATACACACAAATTACTCAAAATATTGTGTATAAAATTAAGTTCAGGCTGTATATAGACCCTTTCTTTTTCAGACTGACGTCCCGTCTCCAAGTCATTTCATTATGTGTGTTATGCAAGTACTCCAAAATCCCCCAAAATCCAAAATGCAAAACACTTTTAATCCCAAGCATTTTGGATAAGGGATACTCACACCTGTATCACTTTTGGGTTGCTGTGAGTCGAAATTGACTCAAGGAATAGCATCAACAACCCACTGATTAAAACTAAAACCCAAAGTGGTTTCTCCCAAGGTATTTCCACTCAAAAGGTGCAACTAAAATTTTTTTTTTGTCCTTCCTGTTTCTAGTTGTATTCTCATGCTTTCCGTTGGGTCCTTGTGATTGCTGCATGAGCCCAAATCCTAGTTTTAGTGCCCCAGAGTTTTCCTTAATGTCTTTTCAGGCCATTAGCTCTTCTGAAGTCAACCTGGCCTTTTCTTTGGTCTTTTCATGCCAAAAGATGCCGTTTTGAAATTGAACCAACCGGCTCCAAAGGCGAGGTGAAATAGGCTCCTGCCGACTTTTCCCTTCCCTGGAAATAATTTGTCTGAAATACAGCTGAGCCAGCTGTCATCCTCTTAGTTTCTAAAGCAGAAAATGCACCGCGGATTCTTCCGCCGAGTGAGCACAGAGGAGCCAGCTGTGTCTTGTAGCGAGACACCCTTGCCGCCGCTTTGAAAAAACCCTCCTGGAAGTATGTCATTGCCTTCCCTGGAGCAGCTTTGAAGAGCAAGGAGGGGCACTTGGAGAAACTCCTGGAGATGTTTGATCCACCTCCCTCATTCTTCAAGGAGTGAACTAGATCAGCCTTTGAGGGTTGAATTGTAAATGGAGAGCGATGAAGTCCTCTCTTAACCCGGATAGTCAACTTTTTCCTGAGTAATTGGCATAATTTGGATGACTTTATAAATTTGGATCCACTTACATTCGCCTTTGGTACAATTCAATAGCTAGGGACGCTTGAGGTATTTGAAATTGGCACATTCAGACCTGACCCGGCCTGACCCGATTTCTACTCATGTAATGATTTAATGGTTGGAACTGTAAAGGCGTGGACGTCATGTCCATTCCAGGCTCTTAGTTTGGACTTAATGGTATGTAGATTAAAGTTCATAACATTCCATTATGTTTGTAGTGTAATGTTATGTGCATGACTTAAAGAATATAATATAACATTATGTACATTTATCTTTTCCTTTATACTAATCAGTTTCATATAAATCAGTGTTTCTCAACCTGGGGGTCGGGACCCTGGTGGGGTTGTGAGGGGGTGTCAGAGGGGTTGCCAAAGGCCATCAGAAAATGCAGCATTTTCTCTTGATCATGGGGGTTCTGTGTGGGAAGTTTGGCCAATTCAATTATTGGTGGGGTTCAGAATGCTCTATGATTGTAGGTGAACTATAAATCCCAGGAACTACAACTCCCAAATGTCAAGGTCTACTTTCCCCAAACTCCACCAGTGTTCACATTTGGGCATATTGAGTATTCGTGCCAAGTTTGGTCCAGATCCATCATTGTTTGAGTCCACAATGCTCTCTGGATGTAGGTGAACTACAACTCCAGAACTCAAGGCCAGTGCCCACCAAACCCTTCCAGTATTTTCTATCAGTCATGGGAGCCAATTTTTGTTCAATTCTATCATTAGTAGAGTTCAGAATGCTCTTTGATTGTAGGTGAACTATAAATCCCAGCAACTACATCTCCTAAATGACAAAATCAACACACACACGCCCAACTCTACTAGTATTCAAATTTGGGCGTATTGGATATTTGTGCCAAATTTCGTCCAGTGAATGAAAATACATCCTGCATATCAGGTATTTACATTAGGATACATAATAGTCGCAAAATTACAGTTATGAAGTAGCAACGAAAAGAATGTTATGGTTGGAGGTCACCACAACATGAGTTACTGTATTAATGGGTCATGGCATTAGGAAGGTTGAGAACCACTGATTTAAAGAGTAATGAGGGTATCTTTGGCTTCTCCTCACTTGTGCTGACTTTGGGAGACTTCCAAGGCTTACAGAATTTAAACCAAAGTATAGGGTTGCAGCATTAGGAAGGTTGAGAACCACTGAGAACCACGGATCTAGTAAGTGTGTGTATCTATATCTGACTCTTGCTCTTAAGGATTTATATAGGATGGTCCAGGTTCTACCAACCTCCTCTAGCTCTTGACTAGAATCTGTAATCTGGGCTCTTCTCTTCATCTTCCTGACAAGAGAATGTGTCCCTCAAGTTAGACTTAACAAACCAAAGATCTCAGCCCTTTCCCCTTGAAAGTCTCATGACCAGAAAATTTTCCCCCTCCAGATTAGGTGCAGATGCCATTACATTGACCCAATAGATCATAGAATCATAGAATCAAAGAGTTGGAAGAGACCTCATGGGCCATCCAGTCCAACTCCCTGCCAAGAAGCAGGAATATTGCATTCAAATCACCCCTGACAGATGGCCATCCAGCCTCTGTTTAAAAGCTTCCAAAGAAGGAGTGTCCACAACACTCTGAGGCAGAGAGTTCCACTGCTGAATGGCTCTCACAGTCAGGAAGTTCTTCCTCATGTTCAGATGGAATCTCCTTTCTTGTAGTTTGAAGCCATTGTTCCTTGTCCTAATCTCCATGGAAGCAGAAAACAAGCTTGCTCCCTCCTCCCTGTGGCTTCCTCTCACATATTTATACGTGGCTATCATATCTCCTCTCAGCCTTCTCTTCTTCAGGCTAAACAAAATGGTACCACTCCTTAAGCTGCTCCTCATAGGGCTTGTTCTCCAGACCCTTGATCATTTTAGTCACCCTCCTCTGGACACATTCCACCTTGTCAATACCTTTCTTCAATTGTGGTGCCCAGAATTGGTGTGGTCTGCCAATATTGTGTCCAATTCTGGGCACCTAGTACTTGGTCACTTTGTACAACAGAGTTGAAGGAACGTTGAAAGAAATAGCCCAAAGAATCCATAAACTGCCTTTGATTGGGACCATTTGTCATCATTTCGACACATTCCCATTTCAAACGATAACTCGAAAAAACCATGTCTGTTGGCCATATTTCTGCAACATTGGTCTTCAGCATCGTTGATCATGCTCCCTTTCTCTCTGCCTCATGCAAAGGACAGAATATCCTCATTCAACCCCTTCATATATTGGCAATGCCTTTCTCTCCCCTCCTTCTTTCGCCCCAAGAACGAATGTTAATACATTGTTGCAGCCGCAGCAATTCCCCGTCTATGAGGAAATGTTGAATGAAGCCATAACTCAGCCTAACGAATGTTGTAAATAAGGGCAAAACACGGTGAGCTCCGTTCTGTAGAACGGCTCTTGCTTCCGAAATTGATGCCATGGGGACAGTTTTGCTTATTGGCTCTCAGCTTTTAGCACCAGGCCGTACGTCGCTTAGTGGTTGAAAGCACCGGCCAGATTGCATGTCTGTGTTTTCCCCTCCAGAGGTAAAGGGACTTCATCATATTTACCGGCTGCCAAACCCTGTCTTGCCCTCCAAGCTGAGCTTGCTTTTGGACTGCCCTCCTCTTCTAGGAAGGCGAACCTGCCATCCATCTTTGCAATTACGCCTGCTCCAAAATCTCAAATCATTTGCGGGCTCTTAAGGAAACCTTTTCTTCACCTCGATCAATATCTTTTTAAAGGTCTCTTGCAAACGTTGCAAGACAAGTCCTGAGGAACCTATAAAAAGGGGAGGGGCGAGGAAAGCGTGTCCTGCAGTTTCTATGTGGCATCTGAACTCAAATTTGTGGACTTTGAAATTCCTGGGCAAGCCTCCAAATTCCCCTCAAGCTACATATACCAACACATTTGCATGATTTTGGAGTAATTCTCTCTCAGAAATACACATCGGATTATATATGATCAACTTCCAATCTATATAAATAAAAATGTCATGTTCGTTTGTGGGATTAACAGAACTCAAAAACCACTGGACGAATTGACACCAAATTTGAATGGAATACACCTAATAACCCAATGAGTGACCATCACTCAAAAAATTGATTTTGTCATTTGGGAGTTGCAGTTGCTGGGATTTATATTTCACCTACAATAAAAGAGCATTCTGAACTCTGCCAATGATGGAATTGAACCAAACTTGACACACAGGAGTCCCATGACCAACAGAAAATACTGGAAGGGTTTGGTGGGCATTGACCTTGAGATTGGGAGTTATAGTTTACCTACACCCTGAGAGCACTGTGGACTCAAATAATGAAGGATCTAGACCAAACTTAGCACGAATATTCCATATGCCCAAATATGAACACAGATGGAGTTTTGGGAAAACAGACCTTGACATTTTGGAGTTGTAATTGCTGGGATTTATAGTTCACCTACATCAAAGAGCATTCTGAACCCTACCAACAATAGTATTGGACCAAACTTTCCACACAAAATCCCCATGACCAACAGAAAATACTGTGTTTTCTGGTGGTCTTTGGTGACCCTTCTGACACCCCCTCGCAACCCCACCCCCCAGGGGTACCGACCCACTAGTTGAGAAATGCTGCCTTAAGGCCATCCAGTCCAACTCCCTTCACCAGGGAACGAAAACATAACCAAAGCCCTCCTGACAAAGAGCTATCCAGCCATAGATATAGATAGGTATATGATTTACACACACACACACATGACAGATACAGATTTGAAAGGGACCCCTAAAGAAGGACAATGATACATTGCATGTTCCAGAGCAGGCAAATATTCAATGTAGTTATACAGACAGTACATAGAGGTAAAGGCTTCCCATCTTTTTCCATCTCCAGGATCTGGAGGCTGTGCTTGACTCTGGCCACGGGGGGTGCTGTTGCTCCATCTTCCATGCCAAAGAGCTTTGTTGTGCTTAGATGCTCTCCCAATCTAATTACTGGCATGTCTGCATGGATGCCTTTATTAGCTCCCCACCAAAATGGTCCCTATTTATCTACCCAAATTGCTGTTTTCAAACTGCTATGTGAGCGGAAGCTCGGCTGACAGTTGGGAGCTCACCCCAATCCGTGGTTGAACTGTTGACCTTTCAATCAGCAAGATTTTCTGCAGCTTGCAGTTTAACCTACTGTGCTAAAGGTGATGGTTCTAACCTTCTCATGTCCAATAATCTCCTAAGACCCCTTCCATGTGATTTTTTTAATTTTGCCATAAATCAGCCAAAACTAATCAGCCAAAATGGTACCACTTCCAGTTCACTGGGACCCATCTCTTTAGGCATGGATATGAGGATCCTTTTCCTCAGCTTCACCATTGCTCTGAAGAGCTTCCCTAATGCTTTCAGGTTCTTGCAGGGGACTGTGGTGCAGCTGGTTGGGAGTCAGCTACATTAAGATCACTACTGACCAAAAGATCATGAGTTCGAAGCCAGCCCAAAGTAAGCTCCCAACCATTTGTCTAGCTTGCTATCAACCTTTGCAGCCTGAAAGACAGTTGCATCTGTCAAGTAGGAAATTTAGGTACCACTTATGCAGGAAGGATAATTTACGACGCCATAAAAATCTCCAGCAAGCATACAAAGAATGAGGAAGTACTTCATTAGTGTCACAGATGGATGGTGAAGCAACAGCTCCCCTGGTGGCCAGAATACCTTCATGAAAAAAGCTGGAATATTAAATAGACTCTGTGTATCTGTCTATATATGTTGTGTGTCTATGACATTAAATGTTTGCCATGTATATGTACATTGTAATCTGCCCTGAGTCCCCTTCAGGGTGAGAAGGGCGGAATATAAATACTCTAAATAAATAAATAAAAATTGCACCAGAACTGTTGACTTCACTGAGAGTCTGTATGATATGAAGCACTTCCAATAGGATTCCTGGTGGAGGTACCATTTTTTCTATATATATTCTTGATTTTTTTTTGTCTCACAATGATATTATTAGTATGAAAGGAAACTCTGGGCAATGTTGATTATTGTCTATGTGGATGGACAGAGCTTTCAACAGCAGATCAGATGTATGCTTGCTGCATGCCTTATCTAGGTGGGCTGATTATTCATGGGAATAGCTGAGACTGTACCATCTCTTGTAATGTTATCACCCCAGAGGAAGGAACAGCCATAGTTCCCAGACTCCTCCAACAAACCAGACTCCAGAATTGGGAAAAGTTACCATTCTAGACTACATTTCCCAAAATCCCCTGTGATGAAGTGTAAATTTTTATCTACAGTTATGTATTGTTATAGATAAGTGTTTGTAAGGGTAAGTATATAGTATTGCATAATATTGGGGGATGGTAGCCAGCTTAGCTCGCTTTGAGCTGAGTTGCTATGGAGATAGGGGCGGGGCAGCCATTTTAAAGCAGTCAGTCTGTGGTCGGTGAACTGCAGAAGTGGCTGGTTCTGTCATGTGTGGAGAACCAGTGAGGATTCTGTAGTCAAAGAACTACAGGGGAAGGCTGATTCTTTGGTATTAAGAATCAGGAAGGTTTTGGCTTTGAGCCAATATAGTTTAGATAAGTCGAGTGACTTATTTATATTAAAAGTAACGGTTGTGGAAAAAGAGGGGAAGCCCTAATAAGCATCTTTATTGTAACAGAACCATCATAAAGAAAGGATAAGCGCGTGTCTGAAACAATCTGTTAAAGAAAGAAACATCTTTTTAAAGGAACTAAGTTTGAGACCTGTTTGTTAGAAGAATTAGACCTCCTAAGAGTTATTTAAGAATTGTTATGAATGTAACCTTTGAAGATCTGTACCTCTAAGATCTGTACCTGAAGATCTGTACCTCTAAGAGAAAGGAAACTTTGAAACCATCAAGCTTCTGTACCTCAATAAACTTGTTACAGGTTCTTTTTAAAGTCAAGCCTATGTTACCATTCCTTTCCAAGTCATATTGAAGAAAGACCAAAGCAACATTACAAGCTATTGGTTGTGTCTTCAATATAATAAGCCCTCACAAAGAGGTGGCTCCTTTTACCAACTCTCTACATATTGATAGTAGTTCTATTTATACATCCTTACAATTTGGTGGCATCATTGCAAATTAGTGGCCAAGACTTTACAATTAGTAGCAGTAACATATGGGCTCCTTCACACCCCTTGTCCAACTTTTCCAAACTCTCCAACTTTCCCTTCTTCTCCCTCTCTAGAATTTAGGTTATTTTAGCGACAGAGTAACAGGAGCATGCAGCTCGTCTGCCAGACGGCGTTGCCCACAGATGACGCTGCCTCTCGGGATGCTGAGCTGGGATAATGACATGGCTCCACATTTTGTGAACAGGTTCCCTGGAGACACCGCTCCTGTCTGGAGGCTTTGCATGAAGAACCAAAATGACCTCGGGGGAAATAACAGCGGGTGTGCTTTGACTTGCTGGTGTTTGTTTCCCTTTGTCCCCCGTCTTGTTACAATATTAAAGGTATTTCTCCAAATAACAAATAAGCACAATATTCACAACTTGCCCTTTGACTCCACGAAGGGAAATGCTGCGCTAGCATTTACCACTCTATTTCTTTTTGCTCTTCCATGGCACCCGCTTCTTTTCCCGATATATGCTCATAGACAGCAAAAAACACTGGTTAGAGGTTAATGTTTTTCTCCATATTCTGCTGTGCTTGGAGCATTTTAATGGTGTTTTGATGCATTTGATTACACTGGTTTCAGATCAACTGAAACTCCTGAAACTTATTGCTTGTTTTCTGAGTGACAGAGTGAATATCTGTTTGTCTGTTATCAGTAGAGATGGATCAATTCCTTGTCCTTTTTTGATTTCTCGTTCCCATCCATTCTCTTCCATTGGCCCCATCCATATAACATGTAGTCATGCTTCTACAATGGCCAACATTGGTATATGAAGCATGACCAACATTTATCTCTGTCTTTCTAAGGCAGTTTAGGACACTCAATCCTAAATCCTATTTGTAGGAGAAACTAGAGCAGATCCATTGAATTACCTGGATTGACCTTTGTGTTAAATCATGTTTCAGTAATTGATTGCATGGTTCTACTTTAAATGGGATTAACCAACAGAATTCAAAATTAGTTAAAAGCTGATATTGAAGCAAACCCGAACCTACCACCATTTGTACAATGTCATATGCAGAAATTACTTTTTAGGTTGTAGAACACAGATGTGGAATGGAACATGGAGGCCAAATTATGAAGGTACCTGTCAAAGAGGGCAGGTTTTCTACATAGGGTTTAACTAAAAAAATACTCTAGTGAGTTAGCTCACCTGAACTATTAGTTTCCCATCAGCAAAAAAACTGTTCTCTGTTAGATACTGATTGTATTTTGCATGTACCACTTGCCATTTGTGAAGCTTTGCCATAGCATTTGCTACTCCACGATGATTGTTATGTGTTCAATAAAACCCAACTTTGAATTCTGTGTGAATATCACTTTTTTAATCCCCAATTTGCCTAAACTGCAGTCCTGCAAGATCCGAACATCCCTTGCAGGCACAACATGCATGAACTCAAGCACATGCTCTGCTAATGTGCTCCTTCATTTATTTGGTACTAATAAGGTAAACGTAAAGGTTCCCCTGACATTAAATCCAGTCGTGTCCAACTCTGGGACTTGGTGCTCATCTCCATTTCTAAGCTGAAGAGCCGGTGTTGTCCATACACACCTCCAAGGTCATTTGATCAGCATGACTGCATGGAGTGCCATTACCTTCCCGCTGAAGCAGTACCTATTGATCTACTCACATTTGCATGTTTTCGAACTGCTAGGTTGGCAGAAGCTGGGGCTGATAATGGAAGCTCACACCACTCCTCGAATTTGAACCTACAACCTTTTAGTCAACAAGTTCAGCAGCTCAGCGGTTTAACACACTGCGTCTCCGGGGACTGCCAAAAAACATCTACACTGACCATTTAATGCAGTTCAAAGCTAATTTCAAACTGTGGTGGCCAGACAACAACGCCCATGAAAACATGCAAAAGAAAGCCCTAAATGTACACCAGGGATCTGTACTTTGTGTAATCACCATTTGGACCTCAAACTGGTTCCAGGGTTTTCTATGTAATCATCTGTACAGCAAAATCACTTTCCTCAATACTGGTTTGAAATGGCATTAAAAGTTCAGTGTAGCTGGGGCATAAGTCCTATATGACCCACACACACACAGCAGCTCAGCGCTTTAACCTACTGCTAAATGATATTCCAAATACATGAAGTATACCCAATACTTTCTATGTCTAAGTCTAATATTTCCATATGGATCCTCTTGTTTTTCCAGTTACTTTTTAAATCTCTGCAATCTTACTTTTTGATCCTCTCTCTTTAGTGAGGACCCACATGTTGTAATGGTTTGAGTATTGGACTGCAATTCCACAGACCAGAGTTCAGTTCCCACTGGGTGAACTTGCGTGAGTTATATATTCTCAGCCCCAGAAAGCATTGTGATAGGGTTGCCTTAGTGTTGCCATTAGTCAGAAATGTTGGAAAGGCATGGCCTTTCAGAGATCATAACCTTTTGGAAAACCAGAATCTCCATAACCTTTTGGAGAAAAATGGCATTTGCAACCATTTGAAAATTATAACCTTTTGGAAAAGTATGATCTTCCAGAGAAGAGCCAAAAAACTAATTTGAGTAAAATCTTCTCTTTAATGGTATATAACCACATGTACTTATGCAAGGCAAATTGTTTTTTCATTGTTAGACTGATCACCTAGTTGTCTCTGATCCGTTAGGAACAGAGATTATGCCAATGCACAAAATATAGCAGTTCTTCAGAAGTGTTCTTTTCAGTGCCCAAAAAACATCTACTCTCCCATAAAGCATCTTGTTTCTATATCATGCTCTCAAGAGACAGAAATAAAGTAGACTTCGTTAAAAGTAACATATCTGGAGGAAATCCTGATGGCGCTTTGTCATAGAAGATGGAATGACAGCAACCCCCATAGCTGGATTCGAGCACAACCTCCAAGGTGCCAAAAAGCTGGACATTGACACAACATACCTCCTTTCTGTCTATCTGTCTCTATCCTGTCTGTCCAAAATGGCAATAAATGTTTGCCGTGTATGTGTACTGTGATCCGCCCTGAGTCCCCTTGGAGAAATAGGGCAGAATATAAATAAAGTGTTGTTACATTATTACTGTTATCTGGTTTACTCACAACCTTCATGGATTCAGCATACAGGTCCATAACTTGTCAATCCAGCTACAGATAGATTTGAAGTGGTTTCTAACCCACTCATGATTTTTTGAGGGTAATCATTCATAACTTGAAGACAATGATAATCCTTTCCAGCTGAATTCCATCTGGCTCTAACTTGATGCTCCCAAAGAGACTCATTTCTGTTTTCCAGCCTTCTGGGTTTTTTTCTTTTTCAGGGGTCTTATCCATAATATTCCAGATATCCTTTTCCCATTCCTTAACTATTTAACACCACTAGGTTTAGTATTAGGGTGTTAGTCCCCTCCTGTTTTTGTGTCGTTCCCCCCCCCCCCAATTCCTCAGACAAGATTCTCCTGGTTTTTAACCCTTTAAAGGTTACTAGCCGTCCCCTGCCACATGTTGCTGTGGCCCACATGGGGGTTTTGTGTGGGAGGTTTCGCCCAATTCTATCATTGGTGGGGTTCAGAATGCTCTGTGATTGTAGGTGAACTATAAATCCCAGCAACTACAACTCCCAAATGTCAATATTCTATTTTCCCCAAACTCCACCAGTGTTCACATTTGGACATATTGAGTATTCGTGTAGAGTTTGGTCCAGATCCATCATTGTTTGAGTCCACAGTGATCTCTGGATGTAGGTGAACTACAACTCCAAGACCAAAGGACACTGCCCACCAAACCATTCCAGTATTTTCCGTTGGTCATGGGAGAACTACGTGCCAAGTTTGGTTCAATTCCATCGTTGGTGGGGTTCAGAATGTTCTTTGCTTGTAGGTGAACTATAAATCCCAGCAACTACAACTCCCAAATTACAAAATCAATTTTTGAGTGAAGGACATTGGGTTGTTAGGTGTCTTGTATTCAAATTTGGTGTCAATTCGTCCAGTGGTTGAGTTCTGTGAGTACCACAAACGAACATTACATTTTTATTTATATAGATTTCCTGGTGAATTATGACACACACACAGTTTTTTAGGGTAGAACCCTTCCATTGGGGATTTTGTTTTCAAGCTGTCCAGTGCAGATTCAGCAACAACCCAAAGACAACCTGTCAGATATCAAAACATCAATCGCAGTGTCCCAATGAGTATATCAAGCCCCCATTTCTGTTTTTAGGACAACTCTTGCCAACTGGAGTTTTTGACTTGAAAGGGAGCATGACAACATCTAGTGCCATGCATCCATCCATGAGTTCTGGCTGCCACAGAGACCACGCAACCACTCTTTTATTAGCCTAGATTTTGTCCATACCCTGCTGGAATTTGAATTGCAAATTTCAAAAATTATAATAATTACAGTAACAGAATACCAGTTTTGGTTTTGCAAAAATGGCCAAGTGGTCACTGCCTCTGAAATATCCTTCATAACAGCACACCTTGGATGCCATGGACAGAAGCAAAACAGATGGACTGGCTCCTTGAAGCCTGATTTGTGTATGAACTTGCCATTGGAGCAAGCCATCTGGCTAAGATTATCATAAATAGAAGGGCTTCTTTAGATGGTATCTGATTTATCCAGCCCAATTTTATCTATTGTATTTTCAAGGTCAAGCAGAGAAGGGACTAGATACACCTGGCAGCAGAAAAAAAAACCCAAGCAAGAAGCCATCTGACATCTTTTTAAACTCGAGGATGTGGTGTGCTAAACATGGAGTTTTCTGCAAACATAGCAGAGCTTGAAAAGGGGATCCTGTTGCACTTTTGGATCTGGCTGTGAGAAAGAAGCACAAGCCTTTGTAGACTTAAGTCTACTTCATTAGTTGCATTGAGTCTCTGCAAACTTTTGCTACCAACCTATTTCATTCAAAAGGGCTACAAAATTCCATTTCATGCAGATCCAGAGTAACACAGCTTTGACTTTGGATTCTAGTGCTTTGCAAAGTTATCTGAGATCCTATGCCAATTATTATTATTAGAACTCATGCATAGTGAGATGGCTTCATCTCATCCTCTGATCTAATCATAGAATCATAGAGTTGGAAGAGACCTCATGGGCCATCCAGTCCAACCCCCTGCCAAGAAGCAGGAACATGGCATTCAAAGCACCCCTGACAGATGGCCATCTAGCCTCTGTTTAAAAACCTCCAAATAAGGAGCCTCCACCACACTCTGGGGCAGAGAGTTCCACTGCTGAACGTCTCTTGCAGTCAGGAAGTTCTTCCTCATGTTCAGGTGGAATACTCCCTGAAAAACATCTTTAAAGGAAGTCAGCTGCCCAAACCAAAGTATTCTCTGCCACTGACGTCATCCTACAGTGCTCATTCCCTCCACAAGTGCAGATTACAGTTGTGCGTGGATCCATTTTCCTTTGTTACATTTGTTCTTTCATTAACTTTGGGAGCACATAACGGGAAGCCCTCTCGACACGAAAGCAAGTGGGAGCTAATCCCAGCTCCTTGTCTGCTTTTCATGAGCAGCCTCCTTGCCTTGGAAAGAGTGTGTGTGTGGCATGCAGGTCCAGAAAGCATGCGCACCTACTTGCAGCTAAGTGCCTCCTCTGGAGTAAGAGAACTTGCCACCTTGCCTTGGAAAGTGCATTTGGTATGCAGGTGCAAAAAATGAGCATGTCTGTCTGCAACCAAGCACCTCCTCTGGAGTAAAGTTGCCTCCTTGCCATGGAAAGTGCATTTGGCATGCAGGTCCAAAAAGTGAGCATGTCTGTCTGCAACCAAGCACCTCCTCCGGAATAAAGTTGCCTCCTTGCCATGGAAAGTGCATTTGGCATGCAGGTCCAAAAAGTGAGCATGCCTGTCTGCAGCCAAGCACCTCCTCTGGAGTAAACATGCCTCCTTGCCATGGAAAGTGGGCATGGCGTGCAGGCCCAGAAAGTACACATGCACCTACCTGCAGCTGAGCACTTCCTCTAGAATAAGAAACAGGTAAGAATCCTCCTTAAAGTGCATGCCTGCCTGCAGCTAAGCACCTCTCCTCTAAAGTAGCGCTTGAATGCCTAAAATGATGGGAAGGGAAGCCTGGGAAGCACACCCCCCTCCAATAATGGGCCAATAGAAAACAGATATTTCAGCACCCCAGAGCAAAAACAGATATCTGCCCTCCCAAAAATGGATCGGGGTCTCCACTGAAAGCCGGGACACAAACCAGGTTAAGGTTTAACCAGATTGCACAAGCCTAGTGCAGATGACTGGCTTTTGGAGTTCTGGATCATTTCCCGTCATCGTTGTAGTACCATGATTAAGAATGAGAATACCAGGTGGTAACATGGTCATAAGTCTAACTTAATGATACAATAATGAAC